AAGCAACTGGACTGTTTTGCTGTTGCTGACATTTCGCATTGTTAAGCTTTATCACTTATTTTAGACCCAAAGGATCCCAAAAAGAGAAGAACAGTGAGTAGGAATGTTTCCTATGTGTACTTATAGGTGCAAATTTTAAACCTTCTTCACGTTCCAAGGTTTTAATTGACCTTGAGGGGTGGTTGATCACTTAGTGTTTGTAAATCGAGGTCAAATTAAATCTTGGAATGTGAAGAAGGTTTAAAATTTGCAGTCGTGGAGTTTTCCATGATAAAGTAGCAACCGAAGAAGAGCTTTTTGGTACATTCGGCATGTTGCAAACATGCTCCCAAATTATGGAATACCCTCCCCAAGTCTGTTCAGGATGCCTCCTCTCTTTCTTCGTTTAAGTCTCTGTTAAAGACATACGTGTTTTCACTGTGTTATCAGTGCTCCTCTACACTTGAATGTTATACCTGAAATGTCTTTTTGTTACTGCGTACTCTCTGTTTAAATGTGCTCATGTTCTTTGACTGTAAAGCGTCCTTGAGCGTGGGAAGACGCTATATAAATAAAAGTGACGATTTTGAAGAATTTGGTGTAGTAGGTAAACATGCTAAAGTTTGATGTACTATTCATTCTCTAATCCATTCAATCTCCAGTGCATAGAAACTAAGCTAAAGGAATGTTGTTACGAAAACCAGTGCATTTACAAATCATGCTTATATGTTTTTCATGTATGTTTTCCGTGATTTGTTGCCAAAGCTGATGGTTTTGGGTTTTCAGTTAGAGCGTATACATTTTAAACAAATGAAGTAGTGCAGATGTGTTCCTATTTTTTTTGCTTTTTTATGGAAATAGCCAAAAATATTAGGTGGTTGCTTAGCAATGACATTTAAAATGCTGTGGTGAGCAGTGCCCCATCTCTTAATGCTGACAGATAACATGATAACATGAAATTGTGGCCTGAGTTTAGCTATATTGATATAGTGAACTAATTTGTCTTTTCCGAAGGTGTAGACGGTGAAGAGCTATGGAATTCTAAAAGCACAGAGGCGTACAATTACCTGTACAACAACAAAATAAGGAATGTTTTGCATATCAAACATATCGGCCTGATTTTTTTGAAAGCTGCGGCAGAGCCGAGTCAGAGCGCCAGTAATCAGGCGTCCGGTTGTGAACCTTAAATAAGTTTTTCCAGGTGAAAAGTTTGTATTTGTACCTTTTCATAACCGAATGTTTTAAAACAGAACAGTAAAATAAAAGCCTGGAGACGAGACGGGGTGTGTGGAGTAAGTACAGCTTAGAACATATCATTTCAGTGGATTATGGTTTAAGTTATGTTCCCTGACTAAAGGTACTGAGATGTACCTTTGAGGAAACCACCCCAGTGACAGTTTAGTACCTTTATTTCTGAGGGTGTATGTGGGGAAGGTTAGGATAAGCTCAGATATAACCTATATGCTATACTTCCTATTTTTGTGCGCAAACATATTCTCTTTGGAGGATAGCTCAGTTTTAAAGCCTGCAAACCGCACCACCTTCTTTTCCTTCTTCTGTGGCATGGAATGGAATGCATAGCATGCAGGACACGGACAGTGTCTACTGATCTGCTGGTGTTCTTTCCAAGAACAACTTCGGTTTTCTGAGTTGTTGTGGCAGCCCGAGCTCATGTTTGAATCATCTAGTCTGTACCAGAGCCAATTTAACTTTTCTTACTAGTAGAAATTCTCTGGTTAGCACAACTGGAACTCTAGCATGACCAAAAAAACAGGCTCCTGTCTGCTCTCCTGTCCAGCCTCATTGTTATTTGTCTCACCTGTGTCTTGTCTGTAGCCCCACCTTCTCATTAGTTCCAAGTGTTTCTTGTTTCTAAGTGTATTTATACTTTTGTGTGGATGCAGTTAGTTCTGTGTTTTATTCCTATTTTTGCTTTCCTTTTTATTTATTGCATCATGGATGTCTCTACTCAGCATCTTCAGCATCTTCACCTCCATCGTTACACAAGGTAGCCCCTGTTCGGGTTTTCAGGAAAATCACGAAAACCCAGTTCTTGTAATATTCTATGACTTGAGGCTTTTTATTTACTCAGGTCAGTTTCTGAGGTACTTTTACTTACATTTAAGCCATTATTTGGTCACATGTTATTTGGATGGTCCCCTATAGATGCTCTACAGATATATCCATCATTGACAAACCTTTTAGTGATGTTTGGTTGATTATCAGGAATATTATGGTGTGGGTTGGGAGTAGGTGTAGGTTTTGCCTTGAGGTTAGGGTTAGGGTTAGGGTTAGGTTTAGGGTAAGGAGTAGATTTAGTAAACTCTTTCACACTGAACTTGAAGTTCAGTTGCAATAATGTATATTTAACTGAATGTTACTTAAAGACATACTGAGCATTTACAATGCAGCCACAGTGGATCATCCAAATAAAGTGTTACCATTATTTTACTGAAAATATTATTTCCTCATGTTTACCTCAATTTGGGCTCCTCTGTCTGATGCTACCTTCAAGTCCTGCTCGGAAGTTCCTGCTTACGGCTTTAGGTGTCGTAAATATGACTTGTTTCAAGTTGTTTTGGTCAGAAAAGTGATAGACAAGCTGGAAATAATTACACTGTTAAAAATGAGAGGTCAGCTCCACTTAAAATGATACAGTAACTGATTACATGGCTTTTCCTGAGTTGACTCAACTTGAGGACACAAGAGTTCATCCAACTTAAACTTCTTAATCGAGTCAAAAATTCTCTCCATTTTTTTAGTTCTGCATTTCAGTTCGGTGAATAAAAAGAGTTTGTTCTTTATACTCAGCTTCCCCGCAAGCCGGGACTGTCTCCATCACACAATCCTGCTAGAAAAGGGGCTCAAACTCGCAACCTCCTGTTGGGGTGGGGGTGGGGGTGACAGCTTAGTCTTCTGCACCACTCAGAAACACCTGAAGCAACTCAGATTTTGTAAAAACACTGGAGAAAACATTTGTTGTTTTAACTTTAAAGCATGGCATCGTCTCAGGTGGTGCAACTGTCTAATAATTCACCCCAACATCAGGAGATTGTGGGTCTGTATAGTAGGTAACACCTCTGGCTTCCACGCTGTAGACTGGGGTTTAATCCCTGACTGGGCAGCATCCTACACTATACCAATAAGAATCCTGGGGCAAGACTCCTAACACTGCTGTTGCCTACCTGTGTAAAATGGTCAAATTGTAAGTAGCTCTGGATAAGAGCATCTGCCAAATGCCATAAATGTAAATGAGTCTGAATCCCAGCAATTCCATATGTGGAAGCCCAAGAGGGAAATATGCCAGATGGGACTGTGTGGTAGAAGGAGTGCCAGCTAGCAGAGAAATTGAGTTAAAAAAAACACAAATTCAGTTTTGTTTATCTAGCTGAGATGCAGACCTAGAAACAGGAGCTGGGAGAATTTCTGACTCAATGAAGAAGTTTACAGCATGGAAGGCAGAGGTGTAACCCAAGAGGAAAGATTTCTAGCAGGATTGTGTGATGGAGAGAGTCCTGGCCACCAAACTGAGATGTGGAACTTAAAAATGGAGTTTTTGACTCAAATAAGAAGCTTGAGTTGTGTGTGTGTCCTCAAGTTGAGTCAACTCAAGAAAAGCCTTGAAATCAGTTACTATTTCTTTTTAAGTTGAGCAGACCTTTTATTTTTACAGTGAGCTTTTTTGTTTACTTTTTTTTTCTTTCATTAAAGAGTCAGTTTGTTATATATTACTGCAACAAAAATGTGACAAAATAAGAAGCTGCTTATAAGATGAGTTAATTTTTTTTTATTCAATTCAGTTAAATTCAGAAGCATCACATGAGCTTATATGTGTATTTTTGTGTTTGGGTGATTTTAGCCTGCCGAGTTCATGTGTGTCTGCAGAATTACTGAAATACAACCAGTTCACAAGACAAATATCAGCGGCAAAGTTTTACTTTATTGTCGATAAAACTCTCAAAGATGGTTCCTCAAGGGTTCTTTAGTAAAGACAATGGTTCTATTTAGAACCAGGTGTTCTAGAACCATTTGCATGGTAAAATGGTTCTTCAGATTGATGGAGAATGTGTTGCAAATGGTTCTACACTCTTACAAAAGATGGATCTTCAAGGATTCTTTAGTCAAGAAAATGGTTCTATATAGAACCATGAACACTCAAAGAACCCATTGCATGATTAAAATTCTTTGCATCGTGAAAGTGTTCTTCAGATTGATGGAGAACATACTGTAGACACATAGAACCTTTTGGAGAGGGGTTCTATATAGCACCAAAAAGGGTTCCACTATTGTTACAAGCCAAAGAACCCTCCTTTGGTACTACATAGAACCCTTTTCCAAATGGTTCCATATAGAACCATGAACACTGAAAGAACTCACTGCATGATTAAAAGGTTCTTTGCCAGAGAATGTGCTGTAGATACATAGAACCTTTTGGAAAAGGGTTCTATATAGCACCAAAAAGGGGCTCCACTATTGTTACAAGACAAAGAACCTTCTTTTGGTACGACATAGAACCCTTTTTGCTAAGGGTGTATATAGAAGCTTTTTGAAAATGGTTTTGTATAGCACCAAAAAGGGTTCTTCTATTGTTGTGATGTCAAGCTTGTAGAACAGTAGAAGAACCTTTTTTGGTGCTACATAGGAACATTTTCAAAAAGATTCTATACAGAACCATATACAACACATTCTCCATCAATCTGAAGAACCATTTCACCGCGCAGAGAACCATTTAAGCATGTAAATGGTTCTATAGAACTCATGGTTCTAAATAGAACCATTCCCTTTACTAAAGAACCCTTGAGGAACCATCTTCAAGTGCATGTGCGCTCATCCTGAAGCATAACTGGTGATGAATGGGATCCTTTCAAGAAGTCGCACGATTTTTTTTTCTTTGGACTCGCGCACGCGTGCGCACGCTCGCTCTGATTGACAGCGCGCGTTCCCGCTGGATCCTCCTTCCTTCCCTCCGGCGCGCTCCCGCTCGCTCGCTCGCTCGCTCACAAGCCAAGTTTGCGCACAGGGATGCGGGCGCGGAGCAGCCTGGAAAAATGGCTCTGTCCTGGATTTACTCGGCGCTCCTGCTTCTCCTTCTTCTTCACATCGTCACGTTTTGCCAGGCCTTGAGAAATTATCCGGATAATGAAGGTAAGCTTTAGAACCGCTGTTTTTCTTGTTCCCACGCTTTTATCTCCGTGAGGTGGCTGAGCTAAGCTACGCTGACGAGTGGCTGTGCTGTTAGTTCAGCGTTGGCACTTACTGAGTGACTGAAACCTCAGACTCTCCTCACCTCACCTTCACTGGAAAACAAGCCAAGTTGACTCATTCTTGTGAATTCAGGGCTTTAAGGTAACAAAAACAGGCTAAGCTAGTAGCTAAAGGGTCAGAAATTTGTGAAATTTGTCCATTTTTTGTGAGACTCACTGCTTTTTCCACTTTGTCTCTGCGCGTTTGTTAAACTCTGTTACGTTTGCAGAGGGAGAAATGTTAGCCTGAGCACATCTGTGAATCTTTTATGGTGAAACTAACTAAAAAGCCAGTGGTTTAAAGAGAAATTCCACTTCCAGCTTTTCAAAATGTCTGCAGAACTAGTGTTTGAGATGTAAACATAGCCATTCAGAGTGGTTTGGAGTGAAATGCTTCATTGTAGAGACTGTTTTCTTTACAGTGGTGGTGATAGGAACCAGGAGTCGCCCGAGCCATTTTATTTACCATCCAGAACCAACAGTGAACCTACACGTTTCCAGAGTTTCTACATGTAATGTTGATGATGGGAAAATAGTCATAAATGTGAGACTAAGTTTTCTATGGGGACTGTTTTGCCCTGGAACAGCTTTCATGTATCCACCCACCAGGAATAGATTAAAATGACTGTATTAAAATGCGTTTTAGGCTGTCATTAGGCTGAGTATTCAGTAATAACTTTCTGTGAGGGAGCTTTTAGAGGTGGACGTCTGGTTCCTATCACCACCGCTGTGAACAGTTCTCACTCAGTTTCTCTACAGTGGAGCATTTCACACCAAACCACTCTGAAGGACTTTGTTTACATCTTAACCATTTAATTATGAAGAAAATTTGAAAAATTGGTGGGGTTTCCCTTTAGATATCTCCTTTTTTATTCTTTTCGTTTGGTTTAAATCATCCCTTGTGGGCATCTAAACACACACACCTTTTTTTATTCCCTAAAAATCTCTTTTGTGTCTTTCTGGCACTGCACATGCTGGTGTGAGGGGGCGTTACGCGTTCATCGTACATATTCATAAGCCGCGGTTCTCATTGGCTGACGGAACTCGGGGCTGTGCATGAAAGCCACGCCCCCTGAAATGGGTAGCCAGGTGTTTTTAATGGAAAATCAGCGCAGCTTTCGGTGAGACATGAACAAACCAGGTGTTACGAGGATCCTAAATGAAATCGATTGACAAACAGACGTCAGACCTGTTTAGATAGTGAGATTATGAATATAAAGCACACAAAAAGATGGTTCTTCAAAGGTCCTTTAGTAAAGGCAGTGGTTCTATTTAGAGCCATGAGTTCTATATGGAACCACTTCCATGCTTAAATGGTTCTTTGCATGGTTAAATGGTTCCTCAGATTGATGGAGAATGTGTTGAATGTGGTTCTATATATAAGGTTTTTGAAAATTGTTCTATATAGCACCAAAAATGGTTCTGCTGTTATGATGTCAAGCTTGTAACAGTAGAAGAACCATTTTAGAACCATTATCAAAAAGCTTATGTAGAGAACCATGTACAACATGTTCTCCACCAATCTGAAGAACCATTTTAGAACCATTTTCAAAAAGCTTCTATATAGAACCATGTACAACACGTTCTCCATAAGTCTGCAGGACCATTTTAGAACCATTTTCAAAAAGCTTCGATATAGAACAATACTCAACACATTCTCCATCAGTCTGAAGAACCATTTTAGAACCATGTTCAAAAAGCTTCTATATAGAACAATATACAGCACATTCTCCGTCAGTCTGAAGAACCATTTTAGAACCATTTTTGAAAAGCTTCTATATAGAACCATGTACAACACGTTTTCCATCAGTCTGAAGGACAATTTTAGAACCATTTTCAAAAAGCTTCTAGGTAGAACCATATACAACACATTCTCCATCAGTCTGAAGAACCATTTTAGAACCATTTTTGAAAAGCTTCTATATAGAACCATGTACAACACATTCTCCATCAATCTGAAGAACCATTTTACCACAAAAGAACCATTTAAGCATGCAATGGTTCTATATAGAACTCAACTATTGCCTTTGCTAAAGAACCCTTGAAGAACCATGTTTTTTAAGAGTGGGCGATATGGCAAAAATATAATGGTACTTCAAGACATTTTTACGATACATGATATGCATTACGATATTTAGTTTTGCTGAGGTTTCATCAGTTGGAACAGACAAAAAAGAACCGGTAGTATTTACAGATATTAAGTACTGTCAATACAATGAGCTTTACTCAACATTTCACACACCACACTGCACTAAATCCACTTAACCAGGCCTATTTATGCTGTCTTTATATTGAAAGGGTTAGTAGGTCAGTGTTCTTTAAGGACTGACGATATCTATGATGTGCTCAGGAAACCATATTGTAATGTAATGTAATGTGATTTGATTCATCACAATAATGATAAATATCATATTACATCTCTGCTTAAAGCCATTAGTTCTCTTGTACAAACACAGACACAGACATATATAAGACATGCTTAATTCTTGCGTATCCCTCCTCCTTCACCCGACAAAATATCAAAATAAGTTCTCAGCTGCTCATCATAAGCAAGATTTTCTCAGGGGTTTGACTGTAAACAGGACAGGATAGTGTAAGGAATATTGTGCTCTTGTTCCTTAGGCCTCACCCAACACTAGTAGATGCTGTTTGCATGAAGATTAAGGACATATGAAAGAAACACTGGCATCAGTTGCTGCTTGCTGAGCTTGCTGAGTTTCTACTTGCTTAGCTGTGTAACCGTCTTTTGTAATCATTGTCTCTGTAGCTGCGGCAGTGTGTGATGCTGATTGTGTTGGTTTTGTTGATGTGCGCTCCTTGTGAAATCAGCATCAGTTCAGGGGCTTGCAATCCTTGTAACAAACAGCAGGTGGTACCCCTGAGGCCCTGTGAGTGTGTGTGTGTGTGAGTGAGTGCATGTGTTTGTGTTTAGAGCAGATAGTAGAGCCATAAGCCTCGTCCTCTGGGGTCTTCTTATGTGTTAATGTGTTTTTGTCTGAATGGAGGTCACTGGAGTAACTTCAGAAAGCAGATGTTGTCTTTTCTCTCCTTTTTCATCTTGAGTTGATCATCTTGGGCCGATTATATTGGTAATCGGTGGTGTGTATTGGTTATTTTGACGATTAATTGAATAATTCTTTGGGGTTTTTTTTAACCCTTTAGACACCACAAAAAGATTCTCATGGATTCCTGACAGTTTTCAGAGTTAGAGGCTTACTGATCATTGTTTTAAATTAAATATTATATCATAAAACCAGAGAAAAATGACAGTTGATTTTATTCTGAAGGTGAGCCCCAACTCTTTAGTATGAAGTGATAGAAATGAAGAGAGTCCAGGACTGAAGGGAAAATGGCACTGAGATTGTAATAGGCATTGTAGATGTAGTTGTAATGCTGAAAATGCATAATAAGTACAATAATTCCTAGATATAAAGAAAAAAGACATAGAATTAACAGACTACAACAGCTAACAATGTGTAATCTAATTACCTCATGATGAACATCACAGCCTACTGGATTATTAAAATAATGCCATCACCATGTAGCTAAAAGATCCACACTAAGCCTATAACTCTTTTTTTTGAAAGCAAAAAAGCAAGAGATATTAGAATAACAAAGGTTTCCCCAGTGGTAAAATAAGTTCATTTGTTCTAGTTTAAATTGCTGAATGACCCTTGATGTGAGGATTCTGAGCATGTCCTCACTTTCTTGTTTGGTCAGTGTAGCTGAGGGACTGAGAATAAGATATTAGGCCATCTAACTGGTCTACTTAGGCTGTGAAATGTCCCCATAAAGCCTTACACATTGTTGTCAAACACTGAAATAACTCAAGTCATTGATATTTATGATTTATGTCAGCTTTATGTTCCCCTACCAAAGTTATTTCACTTCCGATAGAACATGTACTTGGCTGTATTCAGTAAACCAGCTACAATTGCTGTGAAAACACATTGCTAAACAAAGATTTTAAAAGATTTGCATTTTGAACTGACATGTTACAGGCTGTGTTTACATGCAAAGATTTTTGTCAGTCTGATTTAATCCATTCTGATAACAGATTAAGACTGAGGTGTTTATATTCTCACTCTTCTCAACAATCTGATGAAAATTTCCATTTACATGTTCACTAAAAGTAATCAGATCCAAAATGATGCGCATGCGTAGAGAACCACTTAGTGTAGACGTTACCATGACAACCAGCGTCACATGAGTCCAGTCAGAGTGAGACGAGCAGCAGTGAGCAGTGCTTGTGTTTTTAATCGCTTTAAAATGATGTCAGACTCAGGAAAACGTCCTTCAAATGTCCTTTTTACAGAAGGTCGAGAGGAAGACGTCGTGTTCTGAGACACCTAAGCTGGACGCCCGTCCCACCGCCGTCTTTTAAAGATCAGTGCATAAACTTCGTCTCCTCTGCAGACCAGTTTCTGCTCCGCCATGTTGAACAGTATAAACTTTCACTATGATGTGACGAACATGATCAGAACGGACTTAAACTTTCCAGTTGGGAATGTAATCAGATACAGACATTTACACAACTATTATTCTTCAATTTAATGGATTATTTACAGGATTACCCGCCTCGTTTAATCAGATACAAATTATGTTCCAAATGGCCTCAATCAGACTAGTCTGTTCTGATTAAGGTGTGTACTTGGATGTATTCTATTCCGACTGAGCTATTGGTTGGATTATTTATGGATTATTAGGATGTGTGTAAACCTGGCTATTGTTTCTGCCACCCTAAATTCCTTTGTGTTAAACTACAGCATATCTGAACACTCCTGACTGCTAATAGCTCCCCCTTGTGGAGAATGTTCAGATTGCTAAGCACGGCTTCATAATCATTTGTGGAAAGCGTCTGTCATTCAAATTGCGGCCTAATCTCTAAGATTTGAACTTAAA